GGCGCTAAGAAGATGAAGTCATCCGACAGACCCAGCAGGAACCTGCAAGATGTCCCTCCTCACGCCTCACTGGAGGAGATCAAACAGAGGAAAGTGCTCGACCTCAGAAGATGGTAATGTTATATTTAGCCTCCATTTTCATTTCCTCCATTTTCGTGCAGTGACTTTTACAGAAAGGAAAGCAGAGACCACCCCCTCCATCTCCTTGTACACACAAACAAAAAACATCTCTCTTTACTATTTACTCACTATTTAACAAGATAAACTGGATCAGATTAAAACATACCATTCATGCTGTCTATCTGCTCTCTACATGGACATCTTCACATTTTTGTATCTACTATCTGTTTAGAAAAAGAACCAATAAAATGCTATGAAAACACCTCAGTATACATTAAAACTGTTTTACTGGAAAGTTGTGCCCAAAATATCAAAAGTAAAAATAATCACTCTACAGAATAATGTTCTCTCTCGGTGTTAAATTGTGTATTATTTATATTACCTTAAACATATAACTGCTGTGTATGTTTAAGGTTGAACACATTTTAAATAGTTATTCTGTTTAATGTTTAATGTCCAACATCACATGTTTGCGATGATCTCTAAAAAAGTTAATGAGCTGATAAATACAGGTCTACAAAAGTATATTAAAATATTAATCACAAAAAAATAATCGGAATTAAAAGCGTTGTGTGACGTGGTTAATGGTCAATATCTATCGGGGGATTAAAATATGGATGGAAAATGTTGGTGGAGTGTTGGCAAAACAGCTAGTTAAACCTATTACATTTAGAGATTTTTATAGATGCTATTCTGAAAGTGCTGCTGAGCCTGCACCTGCTCAGCTTGCTTGTTTTATTAGACCAGACATGGTCAGCGCCACTGTCCATTATGTCCATAATGGTTATAGCTTCCCTTGCTAATGTACTAAAGGAGTTATTAACATCCTTTTCAAACTTCATCTTCTCTACATCACACATGTCGGCTGAGGTGATTAGCCGACGGTAAATCACTGAAGCTCTTTTACTTGCTACTCCACCACTAAGCTGTGTTTCCACACAAAGGGTCAATCATAATTGATATCAGAGCAGTGAAAGCAGAGCCGGGGTTGCTTCCCTTGCATTCTTGTTTCCTATCAGACCAGACCAGAGGTTTGTCCAAAATGTGCATATGCAAACCATCAGAAAAAAGCTGCTGGCCTCTCAGCTCCGGTCAGTGTTACTGGGAGACGGACACGACTATATAACAGTGGGAGCTATGGTCTCCAATGTGCATGAAATAAGCGCAGCTTTAGCGACAACTGCTGACTGTGGCCACAAGATGGCAGTCATGTAGAGGATGGATGGAAACATGCCAGGAGCTTTTTGATTGTCTGAGATAAAAGGGGAGAGATTGATTTGACTCTCTGCACTCTCCATTTTCACTGCAGAGCTTTAGAGCCAGCTCAATGCCCTTTTTTGTCCCCTGGGGTCAGGATTTCCTAAAGAAGGGCAGTAAAGTTTAGAAACCAAAGAGCGAGGACACGGTCAGCGCATTTGTGTTTATTTGAATGAGTTTTTCTTTCACAGCACAGACAAC